CAAGTTTCCGGTTTTCGTTTTAATTACAAAATAAACACGTGGGCCATATTACAGGTGTACCCAATTTTACTAAGTGTTTCACGGGGTTTAAAGCTCTTTGCAAACTTTTCGTATAAAAACACCAGAATATGCATTTTTAAACAGAAGGTTCCACTTGTCCTTTTGTCCGGAAATAATCAACGAATGGCGGTGGCACAAAGGGTATTAACTTAACAATCCTCTTACTCTTAGTTTTACGTCGAATTTCTCTGGATAAAAACCCTTTCACAAATGTTTCATAACAGTTGTCTAATTAGAATGTGCAACGTTGTAACGCTGTTTTATTATTGTGCAGCATTACATTGCTAAGGGACAAAAAGAGATGTGCCCGGTCTGAATTCAGTCTGCAAATCCGAATATGTTAAAATCCAAGCAGCTAATTTCTTTTTTATCCTCGAAAGCTAATAGGTTAATGCATTTTTAATGTGAAAGGAGCGCGTATTTTGCAAAAAAGGTAGGTGGGTAAGCTAAACATATACGGAAATTGTGTGTACAACTATTATTAATTAGGTCATTAGTGAAATATTTCATTGCTAAGAATATTATTCGAGACAACTACACTCAGCACTACAACTCAGTAGCAGTACAATAGTTATACAGTCGGTAAAATTACAGAATATTTTCTTTTCGTCCGTATTCTGTCAAACACAAAACTTTGTTCAACTTAATATTACAATATACAAATCTCCAAAGCAGAAATACAGTGATAAAACTAGACATTTTACGTTCTTCTCTGTATATCAATGTACCGTAGTAGAATTTATTTCCACAGCAAATCATATTTGCAAATTAATTTTTTCTTCAAATGTAAATGCGTAAGAAAAAAAGATAATTACCAATTTAATTGCAACAATTATCTACAGTAGTTAGCTGTGGAACGAACAGCGCGAAATTCAATTACGCTATCCAGTAATTTAACAATTTTGACGGACTAATAAGATTAGTCTTACTCACATTTTGCTATTTGTAGCATAGAATTTTCGTACTTAGTATCAACTGTATAACTCGGTAGCAGTGCGAGGTGAATTATAACTGAAAGATATTTTCTATTGGTACGTAAGCTTATTTTTCAAATAAGTGAACGATTGTTACCAGATAGCTTATTTCAAAGAACAAATTTGGAATAAATACTTCTTTCCTAAAAAAGCTGAAATATTTTCAATTGCAGTATAAAAACCCTTGTGCGATAATTATTATAAATTATCTTAAATTATATAACTATTATATGATATACATACAATATACTTAAATAGATTTTAATCACACTTTGTTGCTTAAACGTTTACACCTGAAATATTTCTATATGATTTAATTTACACCAAAAATTAAAAAAAAAATAGAAGATATCAATGTTCCTCAAAGCCAAAATGTTGCTCAAATTCCGAGAAATACAATCAAAAACGTTTTCAGTGAACGTTTACAGTGTGAAAAAGTGCAGACCAAGTAACAGAAGTATTGTATAGAGAAAAGTATTAATTTTAGTGTATTAAAGTTATAAGTGAGACAAATTTTTACTGATTGATTTAACAAATATGACACACAATTCAGCGGTGATGCCGCTAGTAGACTAAGATTTTGATGTTGTCAGGTCAACTATAAGTAAATAACCTTCTATCGAATATAACAGCAACAATTAATTTTATGCGGTCGTTAATGTGCATTTATCTTACTACGACAAATAATAAGCAAATAAATAAACAGTCTTCCCTTTTTCATATTTCTTAGACTTCATCGCGTCAAATATTTCTCTTTATAATTCTGCCTACAGCCTTACATTCAGTTAGTCTGATATCATACACAATACAGTAACGTTATCGTAAATATTATCGCCTCCAACATGTGCCTACCATTCTAGTATCATTATCCGTTATCGGTATCCTTTGAATTCTATTATCTATTCCTAAAAGTACGCCTATTGATTGGAAATAATAATTCTTTGTTTTTGTTTTCAGAATTTATTTAAAAGATTTCAGCATACGAAAGTAAAACTGCGATAATTTAGTTATTCAGAGGGTTTGCATCTGGCATACGTCACACAGGCCTAATTAACTATTGCCAACCAATTTCATTTAATGAGTAGAGCTCGACTGAGTATGCACTAAATAATTAATAAGTAATTAGTAGTTGTGTTTATCACGGGTTTGCTTTATCGTTTTCTAGGTTTTTTGACTCGTAAAATTTATTGTTTGACTTCCCCGTTACAAAAAAAGTTATCTAAATCCCTGCTACCATCACCAATAATAATTAAAAATTTTGTCAAAATTTTATTCTAGAAACTAAGTAGATAGAGAGAAAGTAGAGAGGTATGTTCAAACTTTTCTGTTTGCACGGTACTTTCCTATTTGCAGGACAAAATAAAATCTGTGTTATGCTTTAATATTTACAAGAAACAGAGACTTTTCATTGATTTTAAACAATGTTTCACTTAGAAAATAAAAAAAGAAAAAAATCGTGACCAAATTTATGTACTGCCGATGCCGTCGCTACTGAATATTTCTTCCAAAACTGTTGATATTTCCGAAACAATTTTGTTACCTGCCGATGTAGAACTTTAATTTTTTCACATATTAATAACAAAAATGTTATGGCCGGTGGTGTAGCATTACGGGGAATTTAATGTATTTTGAAATGTCTGCTTTTATGGGGACTTAAATTATCATACTTTTTTTAAGTCTATGTCTGTAACTTTTTTATTTAAATTACTTTTTACTTCCTGAGCGGGTCGATCGGACGAATGGCCACTTTTATGTTTTCTCGACGTTTCATGGCCCCTAGATTATGAAAAAATTGGTCTCCCGTTTCTGTGTGTGTGTCTGTCTGTCTAGCATCTGCGTCGAATTTTATAAGACGCGTAATCTCCGAAACTGCTGCACCGATTGTTGTTAAATTTTGTACATATATTAGGAATGTCATGTAGATGGTTAAACGCTAATGATGATGACGCAGAGTCAAAGAATTCGATTTTAAAATGATTTCAGTGTTATATAATAATAAACTCCTACACTTATGGTGTACGAATCCGATTTGAGTCTTTTTCCTAAACATTCAAATATTCACAAAAAAAAAATAAAACAGTATAATAACATATTACCATTAACTCAGGATATAAGCGACTATGGTCAAGTGGTTAAGGCGTCAGGATGTGGACCCGACCTCGTAAGTTCGATGCCAGACTTCGCCGTTCTTTTTTCCCTTTTTTTTTTCTAGCGCTGTGTAAGAATTAGGAGTATAATATTTAATAACAAAATTCAAAACATTCTCTTCAACTGTGGCTTAATTAATAATTTTAGTCCTATGTTTTGAAGCAACAGATTCATTCAAATCAAACAAATTTCTACGTGAATTCTCCCGACGTATAAACAAACACTTGAAGCGAAAGCGTATTATTGCTGAGAGACCAGTTTTTCTCGTTTTACGTTGTCCGTACTTGTGCAATTTGCAAAATCCCTTGTAATTTGCGTCCCCACGGCGCAGGGGCTGCGGGGGTGTTATTTATAACGCTAGTTTTTCCTTTATAGAGGTTTTCACAAAACAAACATGATAAAATCTAATTTTATAAGAAAGTGTGGCTTTCCAACACGGGGTTATTACGAAAGCGAAATAATGTATTACTAATAAGCAAAAATTACAAATGCACTTGCCCGTTAATTATTATCCATTATATACATATTAGGAAGATGTAGTGTGAAAACCACAGGGAAACATCCTTTCTCCGTTTTTTTTTTCTGAAATTCATCTGATTTCTATTGCTACAGTTACATCTGAAAATGCAAACGTTGTGCATTTGTTTTTTTTTTTATATTTGATGAATCGACATATTTTAGCGTAATATTAAACAAAAATTGTGTAACACTTGTTAGTATTTTAAAAACACTGAACGATTGGTCGCCATGATATTTTGTAAATACTATATTTTAGACCTACAAATTGATACAACGATTTCGATCGTTCTTAAAGAAATTCTAGAATATTTTTTAATAAATACAAGTGTTGCATTTTAGCAGTTCACCTTCACAAATAGGAAGTATAAAAAGCAGATCCGGAAGGATATCAATTCGGGGCCAAACATACAAAAATTTTGGAAAATTATGTTAATAGTCAATTGTTTGGGGCGATTATGATATATCGATCTAGAATTCTATAATTAGAAACCAATTAAGCAAAGTTCCATGCTACATTTTCAATGGTTCTCACCCTGTAGCTAAAAATAATCGCAAACTTCACGCGACGGTAGTAAGAGTTGCAAGGGTAAAACACGTCAGGAGCGTACATCATCTAAGAAAACGACTTTTAAATGGATACTTCTTCACATTTAAAGATGCGAAATCAATAGGCCTCTATTTTCATCATTTTTATCAACGCAGACATTTTTACTGATAACGAAGAACAAAAAAATTTGATCCTAAGTGATACCTCAGCCTCTCACGCGCACGTGAAGCCTTTTTTGAGTTAAAACCGCCCCCAGCATCAATGGTCGACTGAATTATTCAAATCGCGTCTATTTAATCTGTCTGGATTACCAAACTTCAATTAAGCGATGATGTAAAACCGTTTTCGATGATCCTTATCATTTGTCCCACCTCTTTTTAAACATGCCAGCGTCTAATTAACGCCGTTTTGGAGACAATAACAATAAGAGAAACTTCTCTAGTTTTAGCCAAGCTTGCATTGAATTGTATAATTTTACGGGTTATTTTCGGAAATAATTTTATGGGCGTTTTGATAGTCAGGTGCTTTTAATATTAGACCTGTGTTGCGACCCATTTGAAAAGCGTTCATAGTTAGTTTTTGTCAATAATGGAAAAATATCAAATCATTAATGTTTTCAAATAAGCAGGAAATTATATCATGTTAACTTGTTATCTCTGGTCACATTATGATTATGCGGTTAGCAAATATTTTAGTGATTTCCGTGTGAAAACTTGTTTAAATGACTAAAAGGCCTTAAAGCTACCACTTACCGAAAGCTGGAGCAAGGATGGATGACCCAGTGTCCGGCGGCCTTCTGCCGTATTCGCTCCTTCATGAGGGCCTTCTTGGAGCCGAAGAGTTTCATGGCGAGTTTGTTGTCAGTGGGCTGGAAAAGGGCCTGCAGTTGGTTCTTGATGAAGCTCTGCTTCCCAGCCTCAGCCGAGCCGAGGGGAGTGGGCCCCGGTTCCTCCTTGGGGGTGCCGTACAGCGAGACATCGTCCACGCCGAAGTGGACCTTGCCGCTGCCCTTGTAGTTCATGTCGTTGGAGAGGTAGTCCGCGATGAGCAGCGTCTCGTCATCGAGTGCGGTCACCAGGGAGTCGGTGCACGTGTTGGTGTTCTCGATGCTGATCTTGATGGAGTCATCCTTGGCCAAGCGGCGCGGCGGCGGCGAGCGGATCTCTTCTTCGGACTGAGCCGCGGCCACCCGCCCGTTCGCTAGCCGTAGACTGGGCACGCGCCGAGCTCCGCCACGTCTTTCTCCGCCGTCCCCGCCGCCGTCCCTGAAACACCACACACGACAACATCACCACGTGCTCGCCGGCGACGCTCTCCTCCAGGAAGTGGACGCTGAGGACGGAATACAGAATGACGGGCTAATGGCGCGCCTCAAAGTCCACCACCTACGTCCGTCCGACTGGACGTAATGGTTCACGGTGACATGTCCCTCCCTTTGAGTGCGAAGCACCGCTGAAGGTTAACAATCGTGTCCTCTATCATTAACTTGTTCGCTGTGTTGTATTATGTGCGATTGTGCTGATATTTCATTTTCATGGAAACGTTACGTCAAAAATGGAAAAAATACCCGGTGAATTACTGAATGAAAGTTGATTGGTGGGTACTTTTCAAATGTTTACGTCAATGAAACATTTACATAGAGAAGATAAAAGTTCTAGAGACATTCTTATAAAATGCACATGGCCAAAACATTCTCCATAAATAAACGTTACACATTTGCAGTTTGCACTTTAACTCGTCTCCTCATAAATCATCATTCTGTGGTTAACACTATTAATGAAATCCTTTTATAAATAGTTACACTTTTTTATTTAAATACCTAGTGACTGAAGCCTAACAACACAATAAATATTGTCTATGTAAAAAGATGTTATAGCATTAGGTTGTTGAATGAATTTATGAATTGCTGAAATATGAGCATTTTAAAACTTAGTATTACTATTCGTCTATTAGCGATTTCATTAGATGGATAATCTCCTTAACGACCGTACCGATTACTTTGAAATTTTAGATGCACTTTAAAATTATCATGAAGACAAGCTCATTCTTTCTGAAATATTGATGATGTTATTTTAAAAAATTGTAAAGAAAACTTCGTACCAAATGTGTGCTTTAAGCGTTGTTTTATAAAAATCTGTAATAAAATACTTACTCTATTTATTTGCTAAATTCTAATCAAATTCCACATTCGTCATAAAAAGCTAAATTTAACCGCCTTGGCTCATAAATAACTATTATTAGTCCATTCCACTTCGTCAGCTGACATCGAGCTAATGATTTAAAAAAAAAATTATAAAGGTTTATTGCCCGAAGACATTACTTGTAGTTCACTAACTTGTTTGTATTTGTCGAATCATTAAACAGGTTTTTAAAAAAAGTGTATGCATCTGTTTATTTTATGATGTTATCTATAGTTTTCTTCAAATGTTCAGGACACGATAGGGTTACCTTCAGCAGCTCTCTAGGTACTTTTTTGGAATAATAAATAAATAAAGAAATATTTTAAACAGTGACAAGACGTATGTTGAGATGATCAATAGTTATTTATACTACAAGGGATGTAGGTGATCGTTACCAGGACGATGTTTGCGCCCGAGCGTTAGCGAAGGCTGGCAAAATGGTCTGAGGCTGGTCAAGAGCACTACATCCGGATTGTGTATACAGGGTTATTCAGCTAAGATGACCTATTTGTGTTTTTAAAATTGGCAACCCATAATACCGATTCCACTTGAGCCTGGATTACAAAAAATGTTTCAAAACTGAATTGTATCAAAGTTTGCCTATACATATAAGTGTATAGAAACGTCAGCGTCAGAAAAATGCCTATGCATTCTTACGATAATAACAAGAAAACCGACATGTTTGCCGAATCTAAAAGAGATTTTTGAGGGCAAATTGTGTTTTTTTATGTCCTGGTAGGTGAACGAAACACATTCAATAAATTTAAGACTGTCATGCAACTGTAATAAATTGCTGACTTTGGCTTCTTCACTGAACAAAACACACTCAATAAAATTGGGATTAATTTGGATTTGGTTTCTTATAAAGTTATAAAAATCCAATCTTTGTGGTTAGTTTGTGGGTCGAAGTGCATGCTCCAGGTGCAGATGGTTAGAGCGGTTAGGATGAAATTTATTTATTTGTCTAGCAATAGCAATTTGTCCCATAACTCTCATATGAGGATTCTCATTAACTTGTGCAAGAAGTTATAGTTCATTTTCCAAGCTAGTAGCAGTCTGATTCCATTTCCTCTTGTTAGCAGGCCACTTTCTTACGCAACGAATTTTCTAGCCTCTTGAAAATTTTGGGTGTTGGGGCCACACGGTCAGGGTATCTTCGGGCATACAATTGTGCTGTACGCTTAGCCTTTTTGTGTCATTCTCCATAATGTGTCCATAACTAAGGATCATGTCGGTTTTCTCGTTATTGAATGCATTGGCGTTTTTCTGACACTGACCAACGTCAACACTGACGTTTCTGTACATTTAGCAAACTTTGATACAATTTAATTTTGAAACATTTTTTTGTAATCCAGATTCAGGTGGAATCGGTATTTTGGGTTGCCTATTTTAAAAACATAAATGGGTCATCTTAGCTGAATAACCCTGTATAACACACTTTCCACTTTCGGCCGTAATTTTAAACAGAAAACTTATTTGTTAAAAATATACAATATGACATTCACGCAGTCAGTTTTGGTTGCAATTTTTTTCATTTGTATGTTTTTTTAGCCACTGTTTGTTAGTGTCAAAACTTGAGTTGATTTAAAATGGATGTTACTGAAAATGCCAAAAACATGGAACTTGAAGAGGGCGCAAGCGAACTTCGGGTAATTTTTACGATAGTTGCTGTTTTGTGCTGTCCAATCCCTGATGATTAAGTAATACAATTTTTGTAGATACAAAAATAACGTTCTGAATACAAATACGTAATGCAACACAACGTCTGCAGTTAGACTGGTAAAAAATATCAAAACGTTGTAAACCATTTAGTAATTTGATTATGATGGAAAAGACCCACTAGTTTTGTTTATTTTATTTTGTTCCATTGATCTTTGACATTCTCATGTTAAAAATACCCGAACTAAAAGTCATAACTAAACCACAATTAAAAGTGATAAGAATGTCTATAATTTAACAGAAAATAAAAGGATCGGATTTCTGTTGCAAGGTCTGTTTAATTTAAATTGTACAATTACATATATATTAAAATGACTATTGTTTCTCCGTGGATGAAATCAGGGTTTTTAATTTTCGACAATCTTTTGCTTATCTTGAGCGGATATAAAATAGTATATTATTAACTAAGGTTGTGAAGACAGACATTCTAGACCGAGCGCAAATTAGAACCTGAGACGCGCAGCGTCGAGGGCTCTAAAGCGCGAGGTCTAGAATTGGCTTCACAAACGTGGTTAATATACTATTTTTTCCACTAGTAGCCCATTTGAGGTTTGCGAATTTTCAAAATGTTTTTTCTGAAGTGCATCAATAAAAACGTGTACTCACGTCATTTTAGTAAGCTTTGGAATTTTATTATTTTTTGACAATCCAGAAATGGTCCAGAACTTTTGTTTTAATTTCCTCCATATTTCCCGTTTTTAATAGATTTTTGTGTGAAAAATGTTGTAAAGTGAACCATCATGTACCCCTCCTCATTCCGTCGTATTTACGCGACCGCGACAAATTTGGCTGAAAAAGGTATGGACCTTTTATCGTTAAAGCCACACGGGGAATGGAAATCCTCCAGCATAGCAGAAGGATACAACGACGGCTCGATCTTCAATTAAAAAAAAATCGCCGAAATCGTCCAAAGCTCATCTACGGCAAATCAAGTCAAACCAAATCGGAACCATGATTCAGTTTCAGTACCGTAAACTTCATTTTCACTCCCATCAACTTCATCAACGTTGTTTCACCAATTTATCCTCAATTTATAATCAATTCAGGGTTTGGAAATCATTCCAGGGCATAATTTAAAAGCAAATTTTCCAAAATGATCGTTTTCAGGTTATGTCTCAGTTTTTCTGACAGTTGTGGACAGTTGTCACATTAGGTGGCCAACTTCACGTTTACATTATTGACCAAGGTTCACAATTTTCCAAATTACAGACCTCTAGACAAGTCGACAATTAGCCATTGTAATGCTACTAGTGGAAAAAGTTTATTTGCATTGCTACTTTGAACAATCATTGATTTATCGGAATCTCAATAAACTAGTACCTGTCATTAAAAAGAATGCTGACCTTGAAGTAACAACAAAGCAACTAAATGCGCATAAAAATACAAAAGATGTGTTTTTAATGGAAATTTGTTAACGGAATATTTCTGACAAGACTGAACACTCATCCAAATGTACCTATACGTGACGAAAAATTTCCTAAACTTATAATAATATCAATACTGAAATATCTGTCGTGGTTTAAAACAGAATTTTGGATAAATTAAAGTTCACAAATGTATTTTTTGTAGGTTTAAGTTAGTTATTTTAATATACACTGTGCACTATTTTTTTTTCTGTACAAATATTGACAATCACGCATTTTGATTGCAGCTGTGTTTTACTATGAGCAGCTTAAAAAAGTCATTGCTGAGAACACTTCCATTTTGACATAAGAATGCTGGCACGAAAAGTAACTTTTTGACGGTAGGTACAAACAATGCATTTTCGTGGAACGGTAGTGCAAACACACAGATGCACGTAGTCGTTTTTATAAGATCTTCGTTTGGTTAAGTCCTTCGAAATGAAAGCATCTGGAACGAACTAGTGAAAACGAAACTGTGGAGACAAATAGATCGGAGAAGACCGGCAAATGCGGATCTTACTTGTCGCGTGTTTCTATTGTCGCACATGTATCACATTAATTGACAAAACGTTACATATTTAGCGGCGTGCAAGAAAAATCGCTGTAATTAAAATTTACATTGAAAAATGTCTGTTTACCATGAAAATTTACAATTCGTGTCTTCAAAAATATCCAAAAGTTTATAAAGATGATCATAGCTTTAATTTCGTTCCTCAAAAGTAACTACTCCACTTTATTTTAACTTTTAAATGACATTATTTAAAGTAGGAATTTGGTTTCAGTTTGTAGAATTGTACCACGAAAATGTAATCAATCTTCAATCTTAGCAAAAATGAACCCAGTTTACTTAACAAGTGTGAGCAAAGTCGAAATAAGAGCCATTTTTTGAATTTGTGTTTCAAAAAAAGAAAGACCAAAGTCAAATCTCTTGCTACTTATTTACCCTAAAAATTTCACCTACTT